TGAATCGATAGAAATTGTGTCGTCCTTAGGATTAAGTTTTGACTTAAAAAATTTCGTTAACATTAACGAAAATAACATGGGAGTTGGTATACAAATCAGCACAAAACAGACGCAAATTAATGTGTTAAGGGCGTTTCGGTTCTTGCAACTTACCTAAAGCACGTCAAGAAGAGAGTTGTTTGGAAACGGCAGCGTAACATGTTGTATTTTGGTAAAAACAAACAAAATAGTGGCAGATAAAAAAGAAATACTGTAACAAAAGCTCAGTTGCTTTTAAAAAAGCGTTCAGCGTACCCTCGATTTACTCCTTGGCACTTGAACAAGATTTTCTATAGTTTTAATGAATTCGTGGGTCAATTTATCCTAGAGTTGGTAATTGCCAAGGAAGTACATAGAGCGTGCGTTTGTTTATCCTATAAAAAAGTACAAGACGAAAGACAGTGTTACTATGGAAACTTGTCGCATTAGTAGTTCGCGTATTCCCATTTAAATGTATGTACGCTAAATTAAAAATGTAAAGCGCTCTCTCAAAGTAAGTTTTTTCATTAAAAAAAGATACTTGCCAAGTAGCACCTTCCCTATATAAATTTTTTTATTGTATATTTATAATTTGAACGTAATCTCACAACTACAGACGTATAAAGTTCAATTTAAAGGAAAATTTAGAGCTCGTAAGTGAAAAATTTATAGGGAAAGTTTTAAATACCTCCGCTACATTTTCAACTTGAAAACAGATCGTAGATAAGAGTTTTTAATTAAAAACATTCATTAATTTACAGGTAAACAGTGTGTGCTTCTGACACTTTTTATTTACAACAGCAATGATCATCCACCAATATAACAATGGAATTTTGTAATTGATTTCCTTGTTCCTCGGCTATTAGGTGCTCGGAAAATATGTTGGGGCTTTTATTGTTCCGTTTTGGAGTAGAAATGAATTGCAAGTATTAGAGAGTTTGTCATTCTGAAGTCGCGTCACAAGGGCTTTATAGTCCGAACCAGTCGGGGATTGTTTCAGAAAACAAAAGAAAAGTAAACATAAGAGGAAAAAATCTTACCTGATACAATGAATTTCCAGTAACGAAGGAGTTGATGAAGTGGGATCCATATTTCCGCATAAACACCAAGACGCTGGTAACATCCCCAACACGCACATTGTCTATCTCACGTTCGACCATTTCGGAAATGCTAATGTTATTAGGAAGTCTCGATAGCTTAGCGGTATCACGGAATCTCGATAATCGCACTAGCACATAACAATGATCACCGTGTACGTAGGAAGAATTAATTCCTAAATATTTACTTATGTTATCTTGAGTCCAGCTCGCAGCAAAAGCCCTCCAGGGCCTTTGCAGACGTTCAAACGTAAAGTCTCTAAAATACGCCTGCAGTAATTGACGTAAATTGTCGCAGAATTCCATATGAAAGTCTCCCTCGAACACGGTTTTCTTTCCGGCTAGTTGGGGGCGAATAATTAAGGGATTTATATCGGTGAAAACGTCCACGGTTGGCTCCCGAAAGATCCAATTTGAATCGGACTCGTTCCTCGGCACCACCTTCATGCTGAGACTCAAATAGCCGTACCGCGTAAAGATGTCAATTGATCGTCCAACTTTGAGCTGAGCGTCGTACGATGATGACTCCTGGACGCCTTCGCCGTCGGCCGTGAACGCTATCACTAGCACGAGCAGCAGCGCCCTGCCCCACATCCTCGCCGCAACTGGCACCTGAACACAAATAGTATTATATAATACGGGATGCGCGCACACCTTCCTCCTGCACGAGGAGTCCCTAAAATTTCTACAACTAATCGAATTAATGAATAGCGCCGGCTTCCAACTACACAACTACTATAATACTACTCGTTTTTTTTAAAGGGACGCTCACGATAATTTACTACGGCGCGAATAAGTAGGAATTTCCCTGGGGCCGTAAATTTTATACGGATGATAATAAATTACTCGAAAATTGCTTTTTTGTAGACTTCCTAATAGTCTGCAACGATTCCTCTTCATACTTTAAGACAAGAGATTGGCAAAGAATGAAACACTGCATTTAAATTTATTATTAATATTCGCATTATTCAAAATATTTTTTTCGAGTAGAGTAAAAATAGAAATTACGCTGTTTGCGCCTCATGCTTGTCTGACCAGCTACTAAGGAAGCACCTACTGACTGGTTTTCCATGCGATAACTTATCGTTAACAGGGGGACGCGTATGACAGAAATGTACGAATAACTCGTCGGCATTGTATGCAGCCAAATTTTCTTAGAGACTTTTCATTTTGAAATTAACACAATTTCTTTTGGTGTAGTTGGTACGTCGACATACTTTTTTTATTTAGGTACTATTATATACAGTGCGTCACAACAATTTTTACCACCCGCCCGTTAGTAGTATTGCATTGGGGTACAAGATGACCTCCCACTTTTTTTTACGGAAATACACGTATTGAAGCACCGGGAACACGAATCCAGCAAAAGCTCGATGATGTGACCGGCTTTATGGCTCAGTGGTAGAGCGTTGGGTTATAAATCCGAAGGTCGGGTGTTCGAACCTGGGTTGAGGTGAATTTTTCATCTGTGGCGGAGATGGAAATTACCTTAGACCAGTTCCGAGCATTCTACCGGCTACTCCGAATTAGGTGTTCCTGCAGTTTTCCTAATTCGTAAGGTAAATACCGGAGTAGTATAGACCAACTTAAGACCTTCTGCAGAGGCACCTCTAAAAAGCATTATGCGGGTCACTCTGTAATTGAGCGCATGCCTGTTGAGGGCCCAGAACAAGAGAGGGATAATAAATAAATAAATAAATGTCGGTCTCTACTTTCATTTTGTGTTTTGATCGGATCGGATTTGGACCAAATTTGGTGCACATATTCTTAGCCATACAAGACAGAGCTGAATATCATTTGGGCAGAATCGCGCAAGAAATTGCAATTCAGAGCTTCTAAAAAGACTCTAAGAGAAAGCTCTAAGAGAATTACCAAGAGACGATAAGAGGAAAACGTTTTGCGACGACAGAGAAGATTCTTGGGAGACACCGAGACACCAAGAAAATTCTAAAGCTCCATTTCCATGAAGAATGTGGTTCAAATATTTCAGCCTCATAATAAAATTTCATTCAAAGTTACAGTGAGTCGCAGAAAATCATGGGCGAAATAAATTTAAATTGTTTTTACAACCATGAAAGACCTTTTACCAGGAAAGGAGATCTTATTCAGCTTTATATCCGTTAATTACCCATTAATGGTTTTTAATTTGCTAATGGTATACGAAATCCAACATTAAAACCGGAAATGTCATACAGTTTAAGGAAAATATCGACGTGATAGGATAGGAGACCCCGCCGTTTGACCTCACATTCAAGTAATTAGTTGAATGCGAGGTTGAATGGGTTACAGTAACTGCCTCCGATTAAGTCGAGATTACATCCGTTAGGTGCGCTCTTAGAAAATTTGAATTTTGACACGGCTCCCGTATTTTTAATACCTCTGGATAGGACGTAATCAATTAAAAACTGTTTTAATTTCTAGCGTTATCGCAAGGACACGCCGTCGAACTGGACAAACCGTCGAATCAGCCATGACACGCGAATTTTATATAAGGTAAACGCTTAATATAGAAACATTTTGTTTCCCTCCCACGTGAGTCCCACTTGTTCAGTTTTCCTTTTTTGCTCTGTTTATCACCTCCCAAAAATACTTTTCTATTTTTATTTCCCCGATTTGTTCTTTGTATTCTTTATGTTTTTCCATCTTTTTTTCTTTACATTTTCTTTTGTACTTTTTTCTGTCTCTATATTTTTCCTCTTTTTCCATCATTTTTCTATATTGTTGTGTAAACTGCAGTGGTTCTCGTTTCTCTAGGTTTAAATAATGCCGACGATAAGAGCGAGCCACCCTGTATTTGAAAAATTAATGATATGGACGTAATTTGGTTTTGGCATTGGAGGTTTCAGACGGGACATCCTGTACAATGTTGTAATTTATTTTGTTTGGGACCTGAGGGATATGTTGTCAGGTGGACACAGAATTTTGAGATTTTATTTATTGGTCATTGTAACGTTTACTGTCTTTTATGAGTGGAAATTGGGAACTTGTTAAGGGCTGTTATTGTATTTAGATTAGTGTATGAAATTAGTGGAACGCATTAATAAAGAGACGACGCATGAAAGAAGTCTTATCTGGGTACATGTGCGTATAAAAGCTGTTATCGGGCAAACTAATTGTACGGTTTTGTTAAAATAACACCCGCATTGATAAGCGGGACACAGATGGGCCGTCGTTTTGCGGAAACTGAAAGTGGAGGTCTCATTCCCTTAAATAAGCGTCCGTCCATTCGGGCGCACTTCTACCGTGTTGAACTGCTTTTAGGAGAGTAGCCATAGAGTCCTGGAATTTTTGCAATAGGAAGTCTATACCTTGAAGGTGTCTTCGTTGTCTTAAGGGAAGGGGCCCTCATGAATTATTTCCTGAGATGCTGTTTTTTAAAGTAAAACGTGCTTAAGCTTTACATGCGACAAGCAATTGGTCTCAGATTTTGCATACGCATGCCTTTAGTTGTTGCCAAGTAAAACTTTTGAAAATTGGGAGGGGGGGGGTGTACACACAGTTCATGGTGTTCTAATGAAAGCTTTCAGCGAATGAAATTGATTTCTACTAACATAATTCCTTATATCTCAAGAACAGATTGTCGGAGGAGCGTACTCACAAAGGGTGATTGGGACGGAAGAGATATATTGATTGGCAATGTCAAAACTTTCCGTGCAAATATCTACAGAACGTAGCGTCGGAGGAGGGTACTCTCAAAGGGTGGAATGATCGTCTAGATGAGAGCTCACGAGAAACATCTACTGGCTACGTAAGTTGTGCATATCTGGAAAATGTTGGAGGAAAATACCAACAAAGGGAAGATGCACTATTTAGGAGAATTTCTCTAAGGGCTTGATGAATGTTTATATGTAAAGAGCTCCTTGCTCATCAATTATTTACCAAAAAAGTAAACATCGATAAATATACTATGCTATTACCTTATAACACAACCATTTACTATGGTATTTTAGCGCTCCCGGAAAGTTTACCGAAAACAGTTTACCGAAAACAGTTAACCGAAAACAGTTTACCGAAAAACAATTCATCGAAATGGCAATATACCGAAAGAACAGTACGTCGAATTTCAATTGACCGAAAAGCAGTTCTACCGAATCACACTTTACCGAAAGGAAAGTTTACCGAATATTAACATAACCATCGAGGTGGAAATGTGCTTGTCCGAAAAGATGTTTTTTTTTGTAAAATTCGCCATCCTCAACCAAACGATCTTACGCCCAATTTGCAAACTGTTGGCAGTTCAGGTGGTCCTAGCCAGTTCATAATTTTGCAACGTCTGTTCATCCGCCTCTCGAAAATGAACGGTCCGATTACAATAAAATTTTGCAGGTGGATTCTTTATCAAATTTGTAGATCGGAGTTCGTGAATTGGCAATGTAGGTAAAAAAAATGAAGGCCACGATCTTACTGATGGTTGGGTCAAAACATCAAACGCGAATTGCGACTGAACGAGACGTCGGAATTTGGAATATTGTTAATGTACAATTATATTAAACAGGAAAGGTCCAAGATGACATTGCTGATACAATTATTACGGGAGAAATTTTCGGTAAACTCTCCTTTCGGTAAAGTGTGATTCGGTAAAACTGCTTTTCGGTATTTTGAAATTCGACGTATTGTTCCTTCGGTATATTGCCATTTCGGTGAATTGTTTCTCGGTAAACAGTTTTCGGTAAACTTTCCTATTTTAGTGCGTTTTATCTGCACAAGAGTTGTGCACAATTTATACTTGTTTTATTTACTATTGTGTAAATAATTACCGATCTCCCTCTTCCTCCCATGTATGTGAATTGCCCGTCCTTAATCCCCCTGCATATTTCCGTTTAAAATTCTCTAACCTCTCTTTCAGTAACACTTCTTCCTCTATTTTGCAGTTTTTATCTCTTGATTTTCTGTTTTGTAGTCCTCTTCCCATTTTCCTTTAATACCTGTTCAGGCTTTAAAATCTGCGTCCAATTTTAGCTCCTTCTCCTCCCTTTCATCGACCATATTTTCTATTTTACTTTTTAAGTCCTTCATTCCTTCTCTGTTGCACATCGTTATCACTCCCATTTCCTTCTCTCCACTTCTGACTTGTATTCCTTTCTCCTCTTTCCTTTAATCCCCCTATTTCCTTATCCCTTCTTTAACCCCTGGTGATATACCTCCTTTTGCTTGATAGTCTCCTTCGAAAATTGGTCTTCCATATTGATTCATTCAGAATCCTGTTCTTTATTTTCTTCCAATTATTTTCTTCTATCCATGACTTTACCATCCCCACATCATATCCTCTTTTTTTCTGTTGTTTGCATCTATACCCCCCCCCCTCTATCTTCTCTTTGCTGTTAGTTTCTCCCTCCAAGCCTCGCCCTTTCCTTTCCCGTTCGTGCTTCTCTCTCAGTTCTCACGAATCCTTTGTCATTGGTACTGCACCTATATTCTTCATCTTCTACCGTTAGTTTCGTATGATTCTGTTTTTCCGATGCGGCATTTCGGTTTTTCAATCCAACACCAACCTTATTTTTTTTAATATTGACCAGGGTTTTTTCATTTTTGAGTAGCTTTTGACTTTTAACCTGGATTTTTTTTTGATTTTTGAGTAGCTTTTGAGTTTCCAAAACTAATGATGTATGACA